CGTCAGGGCTCTGCTGGGGAACGAGAGGAGCATCCATGCCCCTCTCGGGACCAGGAAGGTCCTCAGTCCCTCCCCCTGGAGGTTCTGTATCAGAAGATAAATATATTGGTGGATTTCCTGCTCCAAAAGTATAGTATTAAGGAAATGACCACCAGGGCAGAAATCCTTCACTGTGTCCTGAAGGATCACTGGGAGCACTTCCCTCTGATCTTTGCAAAAGTCTGTGATTGCTTGTACATGCTCTTTGGCGTTGATGTGAAGGAAGTAGATCCCCCCGGGTGCATATATTCCCTTGACCCTGTCCTGGGTCTCACCTATAATGAGCGAAATGGTGATGACTACCGCAGTGCCAAAAGCAGCATCTTGATCTTGATTATCACCACCATCTTCAGGAAGGGCAACCGAGCCAGTGAGAAAGTTATCTGGCTTGAACTCAGCAGGATGGGGGTGTTTGATGGGAGGGAGCACGCAGTCTATGGGGAGCCCAGGAAACTCATCACTGAGGACCTGGTGGAGGAAGGGTATCTAGAGTATCGCCAGGTGCCCAATAGCAATCCCGCTCGCTATGAGTTCCTGTGGGGCCCAAGGACCCACGCTGAAACCAACAAGATGGAGGTCCTGGAGCATTTGGCTAAGGTCAATAAGAGAGATCCGTGGTCCTACCTCCGTCTCTATGAGGAGGCTTTCAGAGAGCAGCAAGAGGCTCTCCATGCACAACGTGTGGGCCACTGAGGGGCAAGGTGCAGGCCAGGGAGAGGGCGTGTCCGGAAGCCACGTCACTAGCTCAGCTCCTGTCCATGTAAAATGACTCCCATCCTTCAGTCTGTGTTTCAGGAGAGCAGCAAGCTAGACTGTTTTCTTTATAACTTTGAAATCTTATTCCATTTTCGCAAGATTGAAGGAGATTGCAAATCTTATTTGAAAATGATACTGACCTCATGTATATTTAGGTTTGTGATATTAATGGTTCAATATGATTTCTGATGTGAATGTAATTTTAATCACATATGAGTGTTTCTTTCCCATCCCGAATGTAAAAGTCTTTGCTTTTTGTCAAACCAACTAGGAAACCTTTAACATTACTTGTGATAAAATAGGACTGGAATAGAAATATCCTTGGATCAAAAAGGAAAAAAAAAAGAAATATCCTTGGAAATGTGTAAGAAGTTTACATCAAGTTAGATGGAGTCCAGAAATAGACATATGGATAAAAATCAATTCTTGGCTTTTATTTACTCTATTGATCTACAGTATTAAAAATCTATGCTTATCTGAATATGCTTGGTTTCATCATTAATACTAGGGAAATGTACTGTCAGTAAGGAAGCCCATTTGCTCAAGGGCACATCAATCCCCAAACCTTCATTGCACGTGTGCTCTTTGGAAGGCCCTATGTGGAGGAGATATGAGTAAACTAGATTGAGCAAGATTAACCCTACCCATAGAATGGTAGAGCCCAGGAGTACCACCAATGTCAGTAGGTAGATGTCCTCAAGGATTTAAAGAGCATGAAAATGACCCCTAAGAGGAAGGAGTACAGCAAAGAACAGCCATGGTGAGTGCTGAGCCAGGGCAGTTTGGGTCTTGGGTAACTGCAGTTCCCTTTGCAGAAGCTGATTTTAATGCGGGTGCAAGGTGGCCAGGGCCAGGCCCTCAGACAAGGTGTCCTGGGCTTGAGATAAAAGTCTGAGAGGGTGGAAGACTGCTCAGAGCAGTGCTTTTAGATGATGGGTGAACCTGAGAAAAATTTTCATCTGGAACAGACAATGCAAAGAGTGGTCTTAGGCAGGGCAAGAAGCAAGAGACTTATCCCCAGGCTCTGCAAGGCTTTCCTGAGAGATAAGGGAGATGCTCAGGTGAAGTGAGTCCCAAAAGTCCCCAGATGGGTGCTCTGCTGTCTGCTGTGGCTACTGTTTTGAGAATTATACTGATAGTGCACAAGCTTGTCCTCTTCCTTACTTTAGAGAGAAAGCTTTCTGGTTCTTCCTATTTAATATGCATTTGGCCGACTTCATAGGTTGGCATAGACAACTTTTATCAGATTAGCTTTTTCTATACCAATAGTTTTTCTTCAGGGATTTAATCATGAGTGGATGTTGGATTTTGTCTAATATTTTCCTGTGTCTATATATATGATGATGCATTTTCTCCTTTCTTCTCTTTACAGGGTGCATTTAATTTTTGGTTTGTGCATGTTGGGCCATCCCTGTATCCTTGAAATGAATCCTACTTTGTCATGATGTGTGATCTTTTTGATGATTTGTTGCATTCCTTTGCCCAGGTCTTACTAAGGATTGTGCATCCGTGTTCATTAAAGTGATTGGGCTGTAGTTCTCTCTTTTATTGGACTCTTTTCTGGTTTTGAGATTAAGGTAAAGCTTGCTTGTAGCAATGACTTTGTGAATCCAGCTTCCCATTCAGTTTTGTTAAGGAGTTTCAAGAGTATTGGCATTAAATCATCTCTGAGGTTCTTGTAAAACTGGGTAGTGAATCTATGGAGACATGGGCTTTGCTTATTTGGCAGTTTTTTGTATAAATTCTTCAATTTCATTAAAATATTGATTTATTTGGAATTTTATATCTTCTTGTTCCAACTTGGGAGTTCATACATATGTATACATGTAGGAATTTATGCTTCTGAATTCTCCATTTTGCTAAGTTCTTTTTAAATGTTAAAAAAATTATTAGCACATGTTTGCTGTACATGTAGTTCACAATCATCTTGAGGAGCTGGTACCTATACTTACCACAGCTACTTTTATTTAAATGCCTTTCCCCTTTGTTCCACCCTTCTTTCCTCCTCTTCTAATTTCTTAATCCATATTTTTATTCACATGGGTTTTATTAATCTTATAATGTTTCTATTCATTGATGCTATTAGGTTTCTGTACATGGAACATCTTTATTCTACTTATTTCCCCTTCCCTCCTCCTCACCCCTCACCCTTGTTCCCTTGGACAACTTTCCCATTGCAAGAGATCCATCCCCTTTTCCTTTTCTACCCATCCTTGATTATTCTCTTTGCTTGTCCTTTACCTCATTCACATGAGCAATACCACACAGTATTTAAGCTTGTGTGTCTGGTTTATTTCACTCAACATTATACTTTTCAAGTGCATCCAAAGATCTCATATTTTTCATCCTTTATAGCTGAATAGTATTCCATTATACAACAATACCACATTTTCTTTCTCCATTCATCTGTTAATGGGTATACAGGCTGCTCCCAGGATTTAGCTATTATGAATTGTGCTGTAATAAACATTGGTATGCATGTATCACTGTACTATACTATCTCAAGCTCTTTGGAGGTAGTCTAGCTGGGTCAAATTTACTTTCTAATTTCAGTTCTTTGAAAAATCTTGATGATTTCCATAGTGGCTGTACTAGTTGACATTGCCACCAAAAATAAGAGAGGATTCCTTTTTACCACAGCCATACCAAAATTTGTTATTGTTAGATTTCTTAAAGATTGCTATTATTATTATTATTTATTCTGAAATATTAGCATTGTTTTCATTTGTATTTCTCTAAAGACCAGATACTTAACATTTTTTCATATATTTGTTGACCATTTGTATTTCCTCTTCTGTGAAGTGTCTGTTTGTCCCTCTTGCCCATTTCTTTACCGGTTCTTTAGTTTTAAGTGGTTTACTTTTGGGGTTTTTTTTTAATATATTTTAGATATTATTTCTCTGCCTGAGGAGTACCTGGAAAAAAATATTTCTCCTCCGGTAGGTTGTCTCTTCTGTCCACTAACTGATTCTTTTGCTGTACAGAAGCTTTTCAGTCTGATATAATCCAGTTGGCTAATTCTTGCTGTTATTTCTTGTGTAATTCAGGTTCTGTCATATTAGGTTCTTAAAGAAGTTATAAATAATCTTCAGAATTTTGGCAGAGTCCATAATGATTTCAGCTTTTACATTTCTAAGTGCCTGGAATGTGATCTATTTTTTTCCTTGTTTTGCTAAGAATGGCTAGAGGTTTGTCAATTTTGTGTTTTGTTTCAAAGTACCAACTTTCAATTTATTCATTCTTTGTATTTTTTTAGTCTCTGCAAGTGTTCAAATAATCAATGCCTATCTTTTCAAATCCAGAGCTAATCAGGCTGGGCATGGCTATTGGCTACCATATCAGGGCCTGTGCCCTTTCCAGGTGAGCTCAAAACCCTCAGGAGGTGTCTTTCACAGTACACACTGTGCACACTCGCTATTCATGGCTGTTTCATGAGAATGGCTTTGACCCAGTCACTGTGGGAGGATAACATGTGGAACCCTGAAGTAAAGCTGTACCTTAGTTGTTGTGAATCCCAGGTTCAATCAATCAAGCCTGGAATGGCACAGAAACCAAAGCACTTCCCAAGGATATGGCTGGCATCTGCACAGGATTTAGTCCCCTGCTTTTTCCTGTGTAAGAACTCTATGGGGCAGAATTCCACACTGGCCCAGCAGAGCACAGCAACCATGAGTCCAATGAATCCTCATTTTTCTCCGTGGGTCCTCCTCAGGTTTTACATTGGTGCTACACAGATAATCCCTTTCCCAAGACCCATGAGTGAGGGAGAGATTCCAGACTGATTTCTTCTCATCTCCATGATGTAGTCTGTCTATTCATTGGCTCTGCAGATTTTTTAGTACCTGTTTGCGTACTAAAAATGTGTTTACATTTTTTAGTACATGATGATAACATTCATCATGGGGGATTTGTACATATCATAGTGCATTTTAATTCCCTCCTCATTTACAAAAGCTCTATTTCCATTTTTTCTTTCAAGTATTTTTTCATTTAATTCTCTTTTCCCTTCCTTCCCTTCACCCTTCCAAAACCTCTTTTTCCCCATTTTCTGAATTGGTTCTTCCTACTTTCACATATTTAACCTTAAATTTGATCCCTTTTTATATCTTGTGTTTCTGACCCAAGAGAAACAGTGAAATATTTGAACTTGTGTGTCTTATTTATTTCACTTAAGATTATAGTCTCAAGCCAGGAGTGGTGGCACACACCTGTAATCCCAGCACTTGGGAGTCTGAGGCAGGGGGATCTCTGTGTTTGAGACCAGCCTGGGCTAAATGAGTTCCAGGTCAGTCTCAACTACATAGTGAGACCCTGTCTCAAAAATAAAATAAAATAAAATAAAAGATTATAGTCTCAAGGTCCATCCATTTACCTAAAAATGCCTCAAGCTTATCCTTCTTTTTGGCAGAGTGGTACTACATTATATATAAACTCCATATTTTCTTTATCAGTTCATCTGTTGATGGGCACATGGGCTGTTCACAGCAGCACATTTTATAGTGGCATGATATTGGAAACAGTCTCTAGTTTTCAACTTTTGTGTCCATGCCTTCCACAATCCCAGGGATCTCCTCCATGCTGCCCCCCCCCAACTTTCTCCAAAGTTGTAATTTTCTAGAGTCTGGATTCTGGTTCTTGGAGATGCTGAATTGCTATTGGTCACCACTCTACTATTTTCTAGCACTGAAACTTTGAAGGTAACCAAATATCCATAAATAAAGGGACTCCACATAGCCTGGCTTCCCCTATTATCAGCCTAGATTTCCTGGTGAAGATGGCTGTATATAAACTGCTCACAGTTCTACTAAGTGGCTGCAGGTGGGAGAACTCATTGAGGTGAGAACCTTATTCCTAGAGTTGACCATAAGTCAGTAGAGGGAGATACATATGGATGTTAAATGGAGGACTCCAGGAGCAACAGAACCAAGGAATGGGTCCTTCCTGAGAACTG